AATTATATAATTATATATATATATATATATATGAAGTGGATTCGACAAAGAAAAGGGAGACCGGAATGACCATTTCTGGCCTATTAGCCGTCATCAGCCAGTCATACCCAAACCCAAGTGGTGCACCACTTGAGGCTGATGGCAGCGAATGAGCCAGAAGTGGTCATTCCAGTCCCCTCCCTAGCCTTTGTCTGCAGTACTATCTGCCTGGACTACTAGCAGCTGTGCGGCCGCTGGCGGGGTTCGAGAATGAGCCCCAAAGCAGGGTGGGAAGAGTGAGTTCCCTTAGCGATTGGTGAACATTAATCATCGAGGCTTCAGAAAGATGATGATGACGATGGCATCTCAGCTGAAATCTACGACTTTTGTCTTGACACCGGCGTCTTAGTTCCATGAGCTTATGGAGAAAGAGTAGGCAGAAGAGATCGCTCTCGATGACAGAAGGGGAAATGACTAAATGCGGGAACCATCTTGATGTGAGTCTCGCTGCCATTATCCAAAACTTCTTTGTCCTCTTGAGTCGTGGTTTTTTTCAGCAAGCTAAGTCGGGCGCATGTGGTCAGTTCTTTTGGCAATCCGATTGGACGTCAAGACGTCAATTTGTGACTAGGTGAATCGAATCGATGTGTCCAGTAGGTGTTTTACAACCCTTCAAAGGTGTTTATGGACCCGTTGTGATATCTTCATCGATGTCAAGGTCTGCTCCTGTCGGATATACGTGCGGCCAGTAAATGCCAAACGGCCTGTTCGTGCGTTGAAAGTGATGCAAGACGCCAGTCTTCGATTAACTTCCTCGGGGATTAATGCAGATATCTTTCGCACCATCAAATAAACGCGGCGGAGGTGCGTTCTTTACGCGCCCAGTGTTTTTTCAAGTAACATACCGGACTAAGTATTGACTGGGATGAACAGACCAGGTGTTTCGCCTGCTTGACTCCTCTAGCTGCATCCAGCAGCCACGCGTACGTCAAAACCAGTGATAACAACTATCAAGATGGTACAGTACTATTAAGCAAAAATAGTAACAGATAAAACGTACAAACCTCAACAATGGATACTCCAAGTCAAGAGCGAAGGGAGTCGGTCA